TTATTATCATTATTATTTCAACAGTGAACCGTAAGGCCAAATAAAGCCACTTGATTGACGAATTATTATTTTGCGTTTCTTGTACCAACAACAATTGTGTTGATTGTCTCACAAGCGAGACAGCAAGAACAAGGACGACCGGACTTTGCCGACTACACCCCCTCCCCCACCCCACCCCAGCCCCCAACCAATCGCGTACATCTTTTTTTTCGTGGCTCACGGCTCTCTCGACAAACATATGAGACTCAATGTGGTGAAATCAGGCACTCGTCAAAATAATGAAATCAATGGGAGAGGCACTCTTCTTCCCATCTAGCAATTTTGTTCGAAGTTTTATTTTTTACCCGAACACCTCTTATGTCCATTTAAAAATAAATTCTTAAGTGAATTTTCATAATAAACGTTGAATAAAGGCACAAAATGTAAATTTACAGCTTCCGATGGCTCTCCAGCTATAGTAGTCACCAAACTTTGCTCCCATTTTCTTGCTAATTCCACCTCTGAAACCAGGGAACCCTCACCTACTTCAAACAAGAATATCTCCACTTCTATAGAAGACAGACGGTTAATTTTTTCACTTAAAGCAAGACAAATAAACAAGCTTTAAGATAATACACATAACTCCATAATTTGCCCCAAATTTGACGAGCTCCTGATTCCACCACGCCGTGACACATATAAGAAATTATATGTCCGCGGAGACGCGCAGTTGACAGTGAGAGGCAAACCTCTCTCCGCGCCGATAATAATAACAATAATAAATAGCATTTGTATAGCGCATACCCCCGCTCATCAACAAGGTCTATGCCTTTTACTTTTACACTATATTAATGCCCCGGCAGACCATAGAAAACTCATAAACATTCTCAGCTTCTCAGGAAGCATACAGTGCAAGCAGCTGATTAAGCGCTCAAACACTAACAAACTGACAAGATTTTTCGCTGTCTATAGCCGGGTACCCATTCCCACCTGGGTGAAGTGAGGAAAATTCGTGTAAAGTGTCTTTCCCAATGACACAACGTTGGGCCCCTGAAGGGATTCGAACCCACGAACTTACGATTGCGAGTTCGAGAGCCTAACCACTAGGCCACCGACGCCACAGAGCCTAGAGAGGCGAGCATCGCGTGTGGGTGGAATATCAATAAGCTTTGAGTTTGTTGTTGTAAGGTCCTTGGTTCACACCCTTCAAGTGGCGCGGTGGCTCCTTGAGCTACCGTAAGTGTCTAGGTTTTAATTCAAGTGGAGCTCTGTACTATTTTTATCCTTTCTAGAATCATTTTCTTGTTCTCAGCCTGGCGCCTTGAAGAGTGAAACAAAGTGTTTCGCTTTAGAAGAAATGGTGACCTTTCATCTACAAAGGGTGATAACCTTCAACAAACCTTACGGCAAAAACAAAACAAAAATAAAATCAACAGGGAGAACGCCACCTTTTACGACGATGATATTAATATGAGGAGTCCGGGTGGGGGTGTGGGTGGGGATTAGGGGGGAGGGGAAGGATGACGTGCATAGTCTCAAAATGGAAACTGTGAGGGCTTCAGAAAAGGATATACGTGCAGGATGTAATAGAGCTCAAATCAGTCTTCTTCTTCTTCTTCTTCTTCTTCTTCTTCTTCTTCTTCTTCTTCTTCTTCAGGGTAGAACAGATGGTGAGGGCTGAAGTCTTGATGAAATCCCCGGTGATTTCTAAGTCGAGAGGCTCGTAGCAGTGACATCACGAGAGTCATTCATGGGTGTGGGGGGTTCTTGCCCTTAAAGGTATGGCCTATACGCCCCCATGTGGTGTCGGTGGTCTAGTGGTTAGGCTACCGGACTCGTAATCGTGAGGTTGCGGGTTCGGGGGGTTTGAACCGCGGGCCCGACGTTGTGTCCTTGAGAAAGGCACTTTACACGAATTTTCCCCACTTCACCCAAGTGGGAATTGGTATCCGTCCATAGACAGCGAAAGATCTTGTCAGTATGTTAGTATTTTAGCGCCTATAAATGACCGCTTGCACTGTATGCTTCCCAGGAATTTGGGGTTGTTTCAGAATGCTCTCAGGTCTGCTGGGGTAATAGTATAGATCGTGAAGCGCATAGAGCTTGCTGTTGAGAGGGGATTTGCGCTATACAAATGCTATCTATTATTGTTATCATTATTTTCATAAACAATCTGAGTCCCCTTCCCGCTCTACGAGATTTTTAATACATTAAACACCGCCTTGCCCCAAATTTCAGCTTGTAGAAATAACATCCACTGTCAAACCTCCACCCCCCCCCCCTCTCGAAACCGCAAAAAGGTGGCGCATCCCATGAGCTGTTGAGAACTAGCTGTAAACTGTCTTTGGATTGTAAACAATTAGGATTGTTACATGAAGAAACGAAATCAATGATATCATAACTTGTTCAATCAAAACTGTCTGTCTGTCTTTTCGTCTACCTGTCTGTCTGTCTGTCTGTTTGTCTGTTCGTCTATTTGTCTGTCTCTCTTTCATACAAACACACACACACACACACTGCCACACACACATACACACACACACACATACACACACACACACACTGCCACACACACTGCCACACACACATACACACACAAATACACACACACATACACTCACATACATTCACACATACACACTGAAAGAAAGAGAAATATCGTTTTTATATTTACGCATACAAACAAATAAAGAGGGGCAGAAGGAGATAAACTGAAAGAATTATAATTAACTGTAGGTGGATGGATAGATGGATGAATGAATAAATAGATAGACTTATTGCTGCCCATATCATTTACAACCTCATCTAATACCGACACCTTAATACCCGTCAACTATGACCTTAAATCTTGCATAATTTTGTTCGCACTGTTGACCTTTGACTTTCGATGGTGGTGTGAGCAAGGCTTAGTGTCAAATCAAAGTTTCCGTTACTAATCTCGTGTGGGGTGTCACTTTAACGAGCTGTACTGAAGTCTGTATCAAATACCAATGAGTGCGTTCACACATGCTCATTTTTCCAGCCCTTCCCCAGCTTTGATTTCCTCTCTGCCTGTCTGCCTGTCTGTCTCTCTGCCAGTCGGTCTATATGTCTGTCTGTCTGTCTATCTATTGTCTGTCTGTCTGTCTCTGTGCCAGCTTGTCTATCTGCCTGCCTGTCTGTCTTTCTTTTTCTTTTCTGTCTGTCTCACTGTCTGTCTCGGTCTGTCCGTTTGTCCGTCTGTCTGTTTCCACACACACACACACACACACACA